ACCAAGACCCAGGTGGGCCCCACTGGCCCCGCTTTCATCAGCTCTGCAGATGGATACCAGACAGAAAACAGATCGCAGCTGAACAGAGCCAGATGTTGCTTTTTGATGCCCAGGGGCTCCCGCCCACATAAAGGATGGCTTAGGTGACGGGGAACAAGCCCTCAGCCTCTTAGCATTGATTATCTCATACTGGCTCTTGGGCACAGCTTCCAGAATCTTGGCCCTGGGCCCTGCTCTCCGGGAGGCCCCAGGCTATGGATTCCTTTGAAGCCATTCTAGGTCGTTCCCAGCCTGCCCTGTGCACATTCAGGGCTTTCTCTGGGAGGCATCACTACGGTTCACATTCCATTTTATCAGGCTCCCAAGGAGACGGTGCTGGAAGCCAGTTTCCTTGGAAGGAGGAGGAAGAGTGTGTCAACCTTTGATTCACAACCCACCCCCATGACATGGGACACACACTAGTGGGATCTCTCTTATTCCATAGTTCATTTCTGTACCATGTCGAACCAAATCACTGAACTATTCTTTGGCCCAGCTGGTTTTTATATGACCCCAAAGGTCTTACCGGGGGGTCATCAGCACATTTATACCAAAGAACAGTAGCCTACAGTATCTCGCTCACCAAGCAAGAGTTCCAGAGTCTCTTCCTGTAGGCTCCTTAATTAGCCTGCGATTTTATCTTGTTTGAGGGCATGGTCATTCAGGAGAGCAACCTCTGCCCTTTGGCTTTTTAAAGCACCTGGTGTTCAGCAATTATGCGAGGGAGTTTCCATCACTTGCCACCAGATGGCAGCAGAAGACTTTGGTCGGACCAGAACTCGGGAAGTCTGCAGATTGGTCAGAGCTCAACCAACCCAGAGGGCTTTGGGAATTTCCCTGTGACCCTTGCGCTACACCAGGCTGCTGCTGTCACCCTTGCTGTTGAGCTGGCCCTGCTGTGACAATAGCTTTTTGTCTCTTGACACCTCCAAGCAGGGGTTAGTAGACCCCTCAGTGGAGACTGGAGACTGCCTGGGTCAGAGCTAGCTGTCCATGCTGCCATCTGTCTGTCCTCTGCCTCTGTGGGCTTTGGCCTCTCAGCCAGGCTTCAGGGCCTGATCTGATCTGGACTGTTGTCCCCAAATAGCCTTTGGCTCATTTGCAACAGCCACACAGACAGTGGTCATGCGTTGCCCACCTCATGTAGCAAGGTGTCCAGTCGACAGAGGAGGGTAGAGCGTTACCCTCTTGGCAAAGCTTGTTTCACTCCAGGCTGCCTCTGCTTCCTCCCCCACCAGGGGAGGGCTTTACCCTCAGGTGACAGGAGGATGAGCCCCAACCTGGGTAGCAGGTCTAGTCAGCACCTCCTTTCTTACCTGGTCACTTTATCTCCGGATGTGAAAGCCCCATTCAGCTGAGCGTCTGAAAGTCAAGCCCACTTCCTGCACATGGCAGCACCATGGTCCTTACCCATTGAGGGTTTGGGGGTCAGTTGGCCCCCTCAAGAGCCACATGGCCTAAGTTTATCTGCTCCGTCAGTAGAGACAGGATAGGAAGCTCAGTGTGTCTGCAGACAGCTTCAGGCGAGTCTCTTAGTAAAAGCTTTCACCGCACTCCTGGGACAAGGGAGTGTCCTTCATGCACCGCCTGCCCTCCTGGTTCCCTTCCCAAGAGATGGCTCCGGTGTAAGGGACTGAGGCCCGCACAGGGTGTGTGTGTGTGTGCAGAGACTGCCCAGTAGGAACTGGTTGGCACTGGACTCTTAGAATGACATTGGGTATGGCTCCCAGGGCCCCATCTGGGGAGCACCTGGTCACCGGTTACTCCACCCAGGGAAGCCCAAAGCCAGGACTTGTCACCAGGTTGCTGGTTCCCTCTGAGTGGTTCCCAGTCCCCACTCTGGATTAACCAGCGAGCGCTTTCACGCTGAGGGATGGGCCGTCAGCTCTCCAGGGAAGCAGAGCACAAGGAAGTCACGGTGGTTCCCCACTGAGGGAGGGAGGGAGGGAGAGTTGTGGGCGCCCTGCTCTCCACTCGAAGGAGCTCTGGTGGCTAACTGGGTGACGTGTTGGGCTGCGAACCACAATGTCAGTGGTTCAAAGTCATGTGCCCTGCCCCGAGGGAGACGGGTGTGGCTTTCTGTTCCTGTAAAGATGTTCAGCCTCAGAAACCCACAGGGGCCGGTTCTGCTGGGTCCTTGAGGGCGACTAGGAGTTTGGTTTGGGGTTTTCGGTTTCCTCTCAACTTCTGACCTCTACCCCAGGGTCCCTCCAGCGATGCCCAGGTAACTGACCACTGCCCGTGCCCCTCTGCTCCTCCCCCTGCAGTGCAACTGGCTCAACAGCTACCACCAGACCTGCAGGGACGTGATCGGGACGGAGCTGCAGAAGCAGGGTCGCCAGGAGGCCCTGGAGTGGCTCATCCGAGAGACGCAGCCCATCCGCAGACAGCACTGACATGGCCCTGGGCGTGGCTTTTCTAAGCAGCTCGGGGGACCGGGAGTGACGTGGCAGGCCCAGGCCATCCTCCCCTTTTGCCTCCTCTTTCCCTCCCCCCTTTTCACTTTTAGACTCTTGAGAAGAATCAAAAACCTTCTTTTACCCTCTTTGATAATTTCTTGCAACCACTCGGTCTTATGATTTTTAAAAATTGTTGAGAATGAGCCAAAAATAAAAATGCTGTCCCGGAAGCAGGGGCCCCACAAAGCTGAACAGGGGGCCGGGGCGCCCTCTGGCCAACGTAGTGGAGCGGAGCGCTCTGTGGCGGGCAGGCTCCAGGTGCTAGTGTCTCCCTCCCGGTCACCCTCATGCCCATGGGATTCTATTTATGGCCAGTGAATACACACCTCAGAACTCTGCTCTGGCTACTTGTCTCTGTCTGCATCGTGCTGTCCCCTGCCGGTCAGGCGAGCTGACCTCCAGGGCAGGGGTCTCAGACAAACGTCGCCCAGCTGGAAGGCCCCCTCTGGGTGAGCGCCCTGGCTTCCCTTTGCTTTGTCTGGCTCCATTGTGCATCTCTTTCTTCGCTTTATAAAAATCGTATTATTTTGGTGAGTATTTTTATTATCTCATTGTGCTTCTGATTTTCAAAGTAATATGACCAAAAAAAGAGTAAAGAATGACAATAGTAAAAGTACCGTGGTCAAAGTGACAGTCTTCCATAGTCCAGCCTGGAGGAGGTGAGCGCTGCAGGTGCCCCCCTCGCTGCCATTGTTTCATTGGTTTGTGACCTGTGACCCTAGTGGGCTTTCTTGTACGTGTGGGCGCAGCCCCAAGGGTGGGGAGGCTCGTGTCCCTATGACTTGACACCATGATGGTTGGGGGTGGTTGGGTGTGGAAGGGTGGACTTCTAGGTCTTTCCAAGGAGCTGGCCCTCAGTTGCTCGCTGGGATAGCTCACTTCATGACACTCCCTTGATCTGCTTGCCTTCTGTGTCTCACTTCCCCGCATGCCCTCCTCCCAGTAAACTCTACTCAGATTCTGGGCTCAGGGCCTGTTTTCTTGGGAATACAGCTCAAAGATACCCCTTAGAAACACACCACTGTTACTTACCTGTGCTCCCCGCTATGTCCCATTTCTTCTTTGTCCCTGTTTGAAGGGACTTCAAAAGGTCTGTGGAAACAGAATGAAAAGATAGTGGGCTTTTTCCGCGATCTTGCTGTCTCCCCCCTCATACAGTGAGTCTGTGCGTGCATGTAAAGGGATCTGCTTGCACACACGCAGACAGATCACAGGCGCAGAGAGGAGATCATTGTGCACAGAAACAACTGGATTTTTTTGGTGTGCTAAATACAGCCCAATTTCTTTTTCTTTTTTTTTCTGTTTATATTTTATTTCATTATTATTTTTAATTGTTTATTGTTTTGCTTGTTTTTTTAAAACATTTTGTTAGGGGCTCATACAACTGTTATCACAATCCATACACACATCAATTGTGTAAAGCGCATTTGTACTTCATTCTCAAAACATTTTCTCTCCACTTAAACCCCCGGCATTAGGTCCTCATTTTTCCCCTCCCTCCCCGCTCCCCCCTCCCTCATGAGC